GTTAGAGACCAACCCACGCGAGATCTCGTCCCCTTTATTCAATTTCCTAAACCCTCGACGCACCAAACTCTGGGACCAATAACTCCATGGGTAAGATTACTCCCAGACTGCAGCTAATGACGGGGGCAGCAGAACTAGAAACATAAATCTTTGCGTTCATTGTGCAGTTCAAGTTCCGGTGCTTCTTTCAGTCATGCCCCCTCGTATCTCTGAATTCTTCAACCAGAACCTATTCATTAAACTTTGCCCTTGTCATAACTGTAATCTTGCTAGCCTGCAACGGAGAGGGGTGTCCGAGTTAGTTCACCATGTCGCAACCTGACGCAGCTCCTGTCAGAGGCGTAGCAAGGGGGGCGGGGGCGGGGGGGGGGGGACGGGACATATGTCCCCGGGCGCCGGCCCTAGGGGGCGCCATATTGAAAGTTTGAGGGGGGTGTAAATGAAAGGTTCGAGGGGGGGGTGCAAATCGAAAGTTTGAAGGGGGGTGCAAATGAAAAGTTTGAGGGGGGGGGGGTGCAAATCGAAAGTTTGTCCCCGGGTAGGGTCGCTACGCCTCTGGCTCCCGTACAATAACTTGGTGTGAGTTAGAATCCTAGATGAGGTAACCATAGCCTAAAGACGAGTTCACTCCACCAGATATATCAAAATTTAAACACGCATTACAATATAGCCACGCCCTAAAGATTCGCCACGCCTTACAATATAGCCAAACCATGAAGATTCGCCACGCCTTACAATATAGCAACGCCTTGAAGATTCGCCACGCCTTACAATATGACCACGCTCTGTAGTTATAACATGGCATGCATACATTATTATTACTCCCCCTACTACTGCTACTATTATTATTACTCCCCCTACTAATGCTACCATTGTTATTTCTACCCCTACTAATGCTACTATTGTTATTACTCCCCCTACTACTGCTACCATTGATATTACTACCCCTACTAATGCTACTATTGTTATTACTACCCCTACTAATGCTACCATTGTTATTACTCCCCCTACTAATGCTACCATTGTTATTACTTCCCCTTACTAATGCTACCATTGTTATTACTCCACCTACTAATGCTACCATTGTTATTACTCCACCTACTAATGCTACCATTGTTATTACTCCCCCTACTAATGCTACTATTGTTGTTACTGCCGTAGCAGTTACCCTAAAAATCCATGTGTAAATCTCACAAATACAACAAAGGACCGTAACCCACATTTCCTCAACCAGAACTCTCGAGTTATCTGCCCCTTACGCAACCACTCGCCCAAAGCATTTGAAAATCTTTTCCGTTCAGTCTGTAATCGTGCAAGCATCCTCAGCCAGCTGAAGACCGTTTTACTGTAACAAAATGAATAAGTAACGGCGTTTACTTAAAGGAGTAACGTCGCCTTGTATACAAGAGCTGGAGGAGTTATCTCGGAATCAGCCCTTGTTGCGTGCAATAATAGCCCAATTATCGATTACAAATATATGCATGAGCGACGTGTAATGGTCTTACACTAGTTACGCATACAGTGTATGTATACATTATATCAATAAGCAATACATTAACTAATATTTACGCTGAGATTGTACCATATGTAAACATTCATGAACTCGGATGTACTATTTTAAATCGTTTTTTAACGACCTATTTTAATATGTGATGTTATTGGAAATGATATATTATTGCAGTTTTATCTGAAAAAGCAACATAAATAGCAAAGGAAATCGCTCCATTTGAAATGGTTAACATAATTAGTAACAGGTCTCGGTCAGTTTTGACCCCTCGTCTTGGACTGTTTGGCCAGCGGGCATTTGTCCCCGAGTTCTGTTTGCCTGAGACGAGCGCCGGTCAAATTTGAAACGCCTGCGGTACCGGCAAGTGCCTTAACCGGCATCCAACCATTTTGCTCTATATATAGACTTTGTTTAGTGCCCAGTTTCGCTTAGGTTTTCGATAAATACTTGACAAAAATCTTACCCTTTACATAAGCTGTGTAATAATTAAACCAATACTAAATATAGCATTGTTGCTTATTTAATACCAACATTTTAATCGTAAAATTAATATTTTAATTAATTAATAACCAAGATCTTTCCTTCTTTTTCACTTATCTGATTTAATAAATGACGGTGGGATAGTGTGGTCAGACGAGAAGGGGTGAGAAGGTGTGTGTGTGGGGGGGGGGGGTAGGGCCCACACATGCTATCCAGAAAGTCTCCCGTTCAGATCCTGAATCCAAGTCTGTGGGACGCCCCTGAGCCGACCCACCCACCCCACGATGGGTGCATAACTTAAGTCACAATTTGCGCACCACAAAATCCAAGAATTTCCAGAACTTTTCACACACCACACCGCTAATGAACGCGTCTTCGTAAAACGGGAGATTGAGTTAGTCGTGATTTATATAACAGCTTGATGCTTGTTGTTCGTCGTTTACTTTCGTTTTCTTCTCATTGTTAGCAGTCTTAATCAGATACGGACACTTGGTACAAGTACGATTAAAAAACTAGAGTTTTACAGAGTCTGCTGATAGTCTAGATATCGTCTGCTGATAGTCTAGATACTTTAGATACTGGTACAAGTAAGAAATAAAGTTTTACATATCTCTCAGTCTCTTGGTAGAGTGCTCTGTCTAGCATTCTGCTGATAGTCTAGATACTTTAGATACTGGTACAAGTAAGAAACAAACTTTTGCAGAGCTCGCAGTCTCTTGGTACAGCAGAGGCGTAGCGAGGGGGGGGGGGGGCGGGGGGACATATGTCCCCGGGCGCCGACCTTAAGGGGGGGTGCAAATTGAAAGTTTGAGGGGGGGGGTGCAAATGAAAAGTTCGAGGGGGGGGGGGGGTGCAAATCGAAAGTTCGAGGGGGGGGGGGTGCAAATGAAAAGTTCGAGAGGGGGGGTGCAAATAGAAAATTTGCTCCCGAGAGGGGCGCCAAATTGAAAGTATGTCCCCGGGCGCCGGGAAGGGTCGCTACGCCTCTGTGGTACAGTGCTCTGTATAGCAGACTGCTGATAGTCTAGATATTTTAGATACAAATGTTGGTACAGTGCTCTGTATAGCAGACTGCTGATAGTCTAGATATTTTAGATACTGAATGTTGGTACAATGCTCTGTCTAGCAGACTGCTGATAGTCTAGATATTTTAGATACTGAATGTGGGTACAATGCTCTGTCTAGCAGACTGCTGATAGTCTAGATACTTTACATATCCATTGTTGTTACAGTGCTCTGTCTAGCAGACTGCTGATAAATAAAATAACATGAGCTGTATCCAGCCTTTAATGGGTATCATCCAAACATCGGTTGTAGTATTATATTTACATGATGTGTAATATGATGTATAAACCCTGTATAATATGTTGTATAAACCCTGTATAATATGTTGTACAAACCCTGTATAATATGTTGTATAAACCCTGTATAATATGTTGTACAAACCCTGTTTAATATTTTGTATAAACCCTGTATAATATGTTGTATAAACCCTGTATAATATGTTGTATAAACCCTGTATATAATGTTGTATAAACCCTGTATAATATGTTGTATAAACCCAGTATAATATGTTGTATAAACCCTGTATAATATGTTGTATAAACCCTGTATAATATGTTGTATAAACCCTGTATAATATGTTGTACAAACCCTGTATAATATTTTGTATAAACCCTGTATAATATGTTGTACAAACCCTGTATAATATTTTGTACACACCCTGTATAATATGTTGTACAAACCATGTATAATATGTTGTACAAACCCTGTATAATATGTTGTACAAACCCTGTATAATATGTTGTATAAACCCTGTATAATATGTTGTACACACCCTGTATAATATGTTGTATAAACCCTGTATATAATGTTGTATAAACCCTGTACAATAATAATGTTCTATAATCTCTGTATAATATGTTGTACAAACCCTGTATAATATGTTGTACAAACCCTGTATAATATGTTGTACAAACCCTGTATAATATGTTGTACACACCCTGTATAATATGTTGTACAAACCCTGTATAATATGTTGTACACACCCTGTATAATATGTTGTATAAACCCTGTATAATATGTTGTATAAACCCTGTATATAATGTTGTATAAACCCTGTATAATATGTTGTATAAACCCTGTATATAATGTTGTATAAACCCTGTACAATAATAATGTTCTATAAACTCTGTATAATATGTTGTACAAACCCTGTATAATATGTTGTACAAACCCTGTATAATGTATTATGTAAGCTGAGCTGACACTTGTCTAGACAGGAAGTAAATGGAACACAAAGGGACGCAACAAGGCAGCAACTTCCCGACCAGCCGACAGCGAGCTGGGAAAAAACTCGGAGACCGCAGTCTCAACGAGTTGAAGGAGATGTTCTTCTCGGCTATGGAGTGAGTCAAACATTTCTCTTCTCAGCTATAGGGGAAATATTTTCTTTCTTGACAAAATACTTGATCAATTCTTCACGCCTAAGTATCGTGCTAAAGGTCAAGCTGAATTCATGCTAAGACGGAAGTATCGAGTTCGGGTCCCGGGCGAGCGATCTTCTCTTTTAAAGCAGCCCGACACGATGCTGATCACCCCTTGCCTTCCTCCCTAACCCTGTGTTGGTACCATTCATTACCCGATTACTTGGTATCGCCCAATACCTGTGTGGTTTGTTTCCCCATTTACTGTGTAGTTGATATGGCCAGTTAACCGTTAACCGACAATAAACAGTTTAGCAGGAACCGTCCATAGTCCATGTATTTGGTATCGTCCATAGACCATGTATTTGGTATCGTCCATAGACCATGTATTTGGTATCGTCCATAAACCATGTATTTGATATCGTCCATAGACCATGTATTTGGTATCGTCCATAGACCATATATTTGGTATCGTCCATAGACCATGTATTTGGTATCGTCCATAAACCATGTGTTTGGTATCGGCCATAAACCATGTATTTGGTATCGTCCATAAACCATGTACTTGGTATCGTCCGCAGGCAGGAGATCACGCACAAAGTCGTGTTCATCCTAGTTTGCACCGGTTTTCTCTCATTCATCGTACTCTACAACGGTACACAGTACACACCTACGTCAGATGTGCTCGTCTACTGCGTCATCTACTGCACGTGGGTCACCATGTGCTTACCCTGGCTGGTGCTCAACATGGACGGGAAGGTGAGCTCAATACTAATTAGGGAACTTCCGGTCAGATATGGACGGGAAGGTGAGCTCAACACTAATTAGGGAATTTCCGGTCAGACATGGACGGGAGGGTGAGCTCAACACTAATTAGGGAACTTCCGGTCAAACATCGTCTAATGAACATTTGAGTTTTGCCCTAAGAGCAACGGGAACAGGGCTTTACCCCCCCCCCCCCCCCGTCAATTACCCCCCTCCGGACATCCACCCCCGTCATTACCTCCCTGTCAACTAACCCCCGCCCAGTAGGACAATACCCCCGGTCATACCTTAAGGTTTTGCTAGGGTTTGAGTTTGGGCTAGGTCTAGGTCTAGGGCTAGGGCTAGGGCTGGGGCTAGAGATAGGGCTAGGGCTAGGGCTAGTGTTAGGATCAGGGTTTAGCTTAAATCAATGTCTAGAGTCTGGTTTGGTTTTGGGTTTATTTTAGGGTGAGGTACATTTTTAGGTTTTTTCGTCTTTGTCTTATGGTTAGGATTAAGGGGGGATGTACGGGGAGTAATGTCCTTTAGCCAAGAGCAACATTGCTCTGTGCTGGTCCTATGCAATGCGAGAAATCTTCAACATCATTTTGGAGATGACTGCGTGGAACAAACTGCATGCCGGCTAGCCTACCCAAGGCCCTAGGCTGAGCGGCGCAAATATGTATGCGCATGTGCAAGAATTTTTACGTATGACATTCAACTTTTTTCCTGTTGTGTTAACTATTCATGTGGTCAAGTATCAGCTTATACACAGTACTTCGAAACCATTGCCATGACAGAAGGCAATTTCCCACCCCTCCCCACACTACGCATGCGTGGTTTTCTTGTTTACAACTTTGACTTTTTTCTTACATTTTCGATACAACCCCTCCCTATTTTCAACCTTTTCCTCGTTCTATAGATCAGCCTAATCAAATTGTAGGTAGCACAAACGCTACCCTGAAGCTATGGAAACCTCACCAAACTATGGTGTACACTTTGTGAAAAGTTGCGACGGTGTGCGGTGGTGAACGAACGACCTCTCCCCAAACCAAAAATAGCGAAACATCTTTTCTCTTCATGGCCTTAAAGTCTGGAGAAACAATTTCAATTATCTTTTGCTTTAGTCAATGCAACAAACCTCTCTAAACTAAGACCACAAAGTTCGGGTTTAGCTTAAGATTTCATCCAGTTATGCACCACCTCTGTGACTCCTGACCTCTGACCCCAGGTTCTGGCCTTGGTTGCTGGTGTTGTGTTCCGTCTGTTTGCCGCTGATGTCGGCGTCTTGGCCTGGGGCGTCGTCAGGGGGCACCGGCACATCCTGCACCGTGGGCTGCGCATGAAACCCCTCCTGGAGCCGTCTATGAGCTGGCTGTCTGCTGCTGGATATAACATCAGGTAAGGCTGTCTATAACATCAGGTAAGGCTGTCTATAACATCAGGTAAGGCTGTCTATAACATCAGGTAAGGCTGTCTATAACATCAGGTAAGGCTGTCTATAACATCAGGTAAGGCTGTCTATAACATCAGGTAAGGCTGTCTATAACATCAGGTGAGGCTGGCTATAACATCAGGTAAGGCTGTCTATAACATCAGGTAAGGCTGTCTATAACATCAGGTAAGGCTGTCTATAACATCAGGTAAGGCTGTCTATAACATCAGGTAAGGCTGTCTGCTGCTGGCTATAACATCAGGTAAGGCTGTCTATAACATCAGGTAAGGCTGTCTATAACATCAGGTAAGGCTGTCTATAACATCAGGTAAGGCTGTCTGCTGCTGGCTATAACATCAGGTAAGGCTGTCTATAACATCAGGTAAGGCTGTCTATAACATCAGGTAAGGCTGTCTATAACATCAGGTAAGGCTGTCTGCTGCTGGCTATAACATCAGGTAAGGCTGTCTGCTGCTGGCTATAACATCAGGTAAGGCTGTCTGCTGCTGGCTATAACATCAGGTAAGGCTGTCTGCTGCTGGCTATAACATCAGGTAAGGCTGTCTATAACATCAGGTAAGGCTGTCTATAACATCAGGTAAGGCTGTCTATAACATCAGGTAAGGCTGTCTGCTGCTGGCTATAACATCAGGTAAGGCTGTCTATAACATCAGGTAAGGCTGGCTATAACATCAGGTAAGGCTGTCTGCTGCTGGCTATAACATCAGGTAAGGCTGTCTGCTGCTGGCTATAACATCAGGTAAGGCTGTCTATAACATCAGGTAAGGCTGTTTGCTGCTGGCTATAACATCTGGTAAGGATGTCTATAACATCAGGTAAGGCTGTCTGCTGCTGGCTATAATATCAGGTAAGGCTGTCTATAACATCAGGTAAGGCTGGCTATAACACCAGGTAAGGCTGTCTATAACATCAGGTAAGGCTATCTATAACATCAGGTAAGGCTGTCTATAACATCAGGTAAGGCTGTCTGCTGCTGGCTATAACATCAGGTAAGGCTGTCTATAACATCAGGTAAGGCTGTCTATAACATCAGGTAAGGCTGTCTATAACATCAGGTAAGGCTGTCTATAACATCAGGTGAGGCTGTCTATAACATCAGGTAAGGCTGTCTATAACATCAGGTAAGGCTGTCTATAACATCAGGTAAGGCTGTCTATAACATCAGGTAAGGCTGTCTATAACATCAGGTAAGGCTGTCTATAACATCAGGTGAGGCTGTCTATAACATCAGGTAAGGCTGTCTATAACATCAGGTAAGGCTGTCTATAACATCAGATAAGGCTGTCTATAACATCAGGTAAGGCTGTCTATAACATCAGGTAGGGCTGTCTATAACATCAGGTAAGGCTGTCTATAACATCAGGTAAGGCTGTCCATAACATCAGGTAAGGCTGTCTGCTGCTGTCTATAACATCAGGTTAGGCTGTTTATAACATCAGGTAAGGCTGTCTATAACACCAGGTAAGGCTGTCTATAACATCAGGTAAGGCTGTCTATAACATCAGGTAAGGCTGTCTATAACATCAGGTAAAGCTGTGTATAACATCAGGTAAGGCTGTCTATATAATCAGGTAAGGCTGTCTATAACATCAGGTAAGGCTGTCTATAACATCAGGTAAGGGTGTCTATAACATCAGGTTAAGCTGTCTATAACATCAGGTAAGGCTGCCTATAACATCAGGTAAGGCTGTCTATAACATCAGGTAATGCTGTCTATAACATCAGGTAAGGCTGTCTATAACATCAGGTAAGGCTGTCTATAACATCAGGTAAGGCTGTCTATAACATCAGGTAAGGCTGTCTATAACATCAGGTAAGGCTGTCTATAACATTAGGTAAGGCTGCCTATAACATCAGGTAAGGCTGTCTATAACATCAGGTAAGGCTGTGTATAACATCAGGTAAGGCTGCCTATAACATCAGGTAAGGCTGTCTATAACATCAGGTAAGGCTGTCTATAACATCAGGTAAGGCTGTCTGCTGCTGGCTATAACATCAGGTAAGGCTGTCTATAACATCAGGTAAGGCTGTCTATAACATCAGGTAAGGCTGTCTATAACATCAGGTGAGGCTGTCTATAACATCAGGTAAGGCTGTCTATAACATCAGGTAAGGCTGTCTATAACATCAGGTAAGGCTGTCTATAACATCAGGTAAGGCTGTCTATAACATCAGGTAAGGCTGTCTATAACATCAGGTGAGGCTGTCTATAACATCAGGTAAGGCAGTCTATAACATCAGGTAAGGCTGTCTATAACATCAGGTAAGGCTGTCTATAACATCAGGTAAGGCTGTCTATAACATCAGGTAGGGCTGTCTATAACATCAGGTAAGGCTGTCTATAACATCAGGTAAGGCTGTCTATAACATCAGGTAAGGCTGTCTGCTGCTGTCTATAACATCAGGTTAGGCTGTTTATAACATCAGGTAAGGCTGTCTATAACACCAGGTAAGGCTGTCTATAACATCAGGTAAGGCTGTCTATAACATCAGGTAAGGCTGTCTATAACATCAGGTAAGGCTGTCTATAACATCAGGTAAGGGTGTCTATAACATCAGGTTAAGCTGTCTATAACATCAGGTAAGGCTGCCTATAACATCAGGTAAGGCTGTCTATAACATCAGGTAAGGATGTCTATAACATCAGGTAAGGCTGTCTATAACATCAGGTAAGGCTGTCTATAACATCAGGTAAGGCTGTCTATAACATCAGGTAAGGCTGTCTATAACATCAGGTAAGGCTGTCTATAACATTAGGTAAGGCTGCCTATAACATCAGGTAAGGCTGTCTATAACATCAGGTAAGGCTGGCTATAACATCAGGTAAGGCTGTCTATAGCATCAGGTAAGGCTGTCTATAACATCAGGTAAGGCTGTGTATAACATCAGGTAAGGCTGTCTGCTGCTGTCTATAACATCAGGTAAGGCTGTCTGCTGCTGTCTATAACATCAGGTAAGGCTGTCTATAACATCAGGTAAGGATGTCTATAACATCAGGTAAGGCTGTCTATAACAACAGGTAAGGGTGTCTTAAGCTGTCCATAACATAACATAAGACTGTCGGAGGCTGGCCTTAAACAAAGTTCTCTACCGAATCCGACGGTCCCTGGGACAAGTGAAGTTACACCTACATTTGTGACCTCGGCATATGAAGGGATAGTGTCGTCAGTACTATGCCCCGCCGCCTTTACTTTCCTTAACATGAGTCAGGTACCCATTAGAGCTGGGTGTACTCAAGGACGGGATTGAGCCTGGTTTCAAACTCGCGACTTTTGGGTTGGCAGTCGTGTGCTCTACCATCCGACCACGCCGTCCCAGAGACTGGCTGTAGCTTAGGGTAACGTAGCTACACAACTAATCTCGCACTGGCTACTGATCTAAGTACAGTAACTACATAACTAATCTCGCACTGGCTACTGATCTAAGTACAGTAGCTACATAACTAATCTCACACTGGCTACTGATCTAAGTAACGTATTTACACAACTAATCTCGCACTGGCTACTGATCTAAAAATGGTCATCATTTGATTACCTGACAACTACGACATACCACGTGACTGAGATGAATACTAATAAGGCTGTGAAACAGGTTGCCGTCAATCAAAGTTATCACGTGCATCTTTTTTTAGTGCATCCAACCAATGTTGGAGCACAAAAATGTTGTACCATACAATTGTTGTATTCAATAAATGTTGTACCACAAAAAGTTGTACCACACTTTTAATGTTGTACCACAAATGTACCAAAAATGTTGTACCACACAAATGATGTACCCCACTTTTAATGTTGTACCACAAATGTACCATAAAATGTTGAACCACACTTTCAATGTTGTACCACAAATGTACCAAAAAATGTTGTACCACACAAATGATGTATACGACACACGTAAAAGGTTTTGTTGTGGTGAGACATTCGCCTTGTACTTTTGTACTTTTCCTGTTGTCCTGTTGTTGACACTCGCTGTCTCGTGCTGTCTAGTGTTGTCCTGTAGTTGGCAAGTGCTGTAGAATGCTGTCCCGTTGTCCTGTTGTTGACTCGTGCTGTCTAGTGCTGTCCTGTTGCTCTAAAACTACTGTTTCACTGGCCTTGACAATTTCCATGAAATTTGTTTACATTGTCAGATGTAAACACATTGACAGCCACATTTATTTTACAGTTTTTATCTTTAAAAAATCGAAATACAACTCGAAATGCATACATAAATTCAATTATATTCACATTTGAAAGATATATCATAGTAAATCCGTATAACTCCAAGGTAAATCTTGCAATCATTCACAATAAAAACTAGCGGTCTACTAACATTAACCACGGCTCATGTTGATAACTGTTCACATTTGAACTTTAACACGAGTATCTGTCATGTGACTTGATCATGTCGCAGTCAACTAATGCTCAGTCAACGCTCGGATTTGTCGGAGTTTTAACCACTTCCATCGTACCTTCAACTTTTTTTAGTGCGCTGCACGTATTAAGCTAATCTCTCCGTACCTTCAACTTTTTATCGTGCCGCACGCATTAAGCTAATCTCACTCAACCGTCACTTTAATTCAATCAAATGTCAGAAAAAAATTAGCAGAGAATTTTCTAAAACAAATTAAAACTCTCCCGAATAAAGCTCAGAAATCCCTGAATAAATCATCAAACCCCCAGATAAATCATCCAGATCCGAATATAAATCACCTTAATAATCGCGCGTAGAATTACCATTTTAAACGAGCATAAAAATAAAATAAACTACCCCCCCCCCCCCCCCCCCCCTGCCACTCGCCGCCTGAATAAATTATCCCCAAAAACCTACATCAGAATGCAACATAAAACCTATCTGTACATCTTCGGTAGGGCCCATTTGAAGTACTCACACATCACCAACCTGACAAATAAAACCATCAGTACACTACGTGATTAAATCCAACCAAATCCCACCCTTCAATTATCCCAGGCCACGCCTGTATCTCCAACACTAACAATGACAGCCAACACTGCACATTACCCACACCACGCCCTGTGTTGTGTTTGTAACACAACACAAAAACCACGCCCCGACCCCCAACATAACACATGACCCACGCCCCGACCCCTAACATAACACAAGACCCACGCCCCGACCCCCAACATAACACATGACCAACGCCACGACCCATAGCAGTACACATGATTCCGACCCCTAACGATTCACATGGCCCACGCCCAGACCCCCACCATAACACATGACCCACGCCCCGACCCCTAACAGTTCACATGACCCACGCCCCGACCCCCAACATAACACATGACCCACGCCCCGACCCCTAACAGTTCACATGACCCACGCCCCGACCCCTAACAGTTCACATGACCCACGCCCCGACCCCCACCATAACACATGACCCACGCCCCGACCCCTAACAGTTCACATGACCCACGCCCCGACCCCAACCATAACACACGACCCACGCCCCGACCCCACCATAACACGTGTCCCACGCCCCGACCCCAACCATAACACATGACCCACGCCCCGACCCCTAACAATTCACATGACCCACGCCCCGACCCCACCATAACACGTGTCCCACGCCCCGACCCCAACCATAACACATGACCCACGCCCCGACCCCTAACAGTTCACATGACCCACGCCCCGACCCCCAACATAACACGTGTCCCACAGCAGTACACATGACCCACGCTCAGACCCCCTCCCCCACCCCTACGTGTGTACCATTCCACTTGACCTCCTCCACCCCCACCCCCAGACCTGAAGATCAAATCACTATATCACCCATTGTCTACAACTACGTCACATAATTTCTTATTCATTTGAATTTAGAGATCAGCCCGACCGTGTTTGATTGTGTCCGTTACAATCCAACAATCCTCGCTCAATCATTACATCACGACCCCAGTCTCCCACCAACAATAGTACTCAGCTGGTAGCCCCGCCCACGGGCCTTACGTCGATGGTCTATTGTTGCATCCAACCAACAACAACATACAATTTTTTACATCATAACCCTTGCAATGAATAAATAAATACTTGTTCTGATTTCTCGATAAGGTTATAACTAAGCTACCTTTACGTGATGGATTTTTGCGCTACTAACTCGTACATGTCGATTTAGCTAGTTTCACATGCTAAATATGTTGCAGCGATTGGTTGATACTTTTGAAATGTCTCGTATGACCCCAGACCCTCCTCTATTTCTTATGTTATGATTGTATTGAATAACGACTTACGTTTCTTGTTTAATGACCCACCGTTCTGTTACTTATCTGGTCCGTTTCATATTGAATGTATGTTGAATCAACTCCTACCGTATGTTGAAAATTCTCCGCCCGCATATTCCTGTATGTTGATACCGCTTCTCTCGTACATTTGTATATGTTGAAACAGCTCTCCCAGTAGATAGACATAACATGTTGATACTGTTTCCTCCCCTACATTTATATGTGTTGATACCACTCCTCGCGTATAGAAATAAAGTTCCCTTTTCGAACCTGACTGTCCTAGGGGCAAGTGAAGTAGAGTTCACCTGTTTCTGTATATGAAAAGATAGTGTGGTCAGTACTACGACCAGCCGCTTTTACTTTCCCTAATGTGAGTTAGGTACCGATCATTGCTGTGTGGACTCAGGGACGTTCTATTGAATAAAACCCGGATTCGAACCCGAAACTTTCGCAGTCTAGCGCTCTACCTCTTGACCACGCAGTCCCTCGTATATTAATATAAGTTGATATTTAATTAAGTATACTTAATTTCCAGTAAGGTATCCAGTCCCATATATTTATGGTGTCACCAATTTTTTTATCCTCTCATAGTATTGTGTAATGACCATATGCACCATTTTTCAAATGTTTCTTGTATAACAACTGTATTTTTCCTACAAATATATCCTGTGTGATACATACTGCCGGTGTAATAAACACGCCCCCCTCCCCGTCTAACCCCCAGGTACGGTGTTGTTATAGCCGCTGTGGTGGCCTCGACCTTGACCCTGGCATTGAACAGCTACCGGCGGATGGTTGACCCTCGGGTTGTGAAAGTTCTTGAGGCGGGGACGGCGGAGGAGAGCGTGGTCAAGCAGGACGGGGTCAAGCCGGACGAGACCGTGCCGACACGGGTCCCAGGTCTCAAGAAACCCGAGGTCAGCATAAAGCCGCACCCTCTGGCCATCAAGGAACTGCCAGACGGCGAGCAGAAGCTGCCCTACCCTGACCCCTGCTACGACCCGCGTCGAATGACACACGAAGATGGCGGCTACGACTTGCGGAAAATCCCACTCGAAAATGGTAATTACAACTTACGCACCGTGCAAATGGAAAACGACGGGTACGATCTAAGAAAAATGTCTTATGTTGATAGCGGATATGACGTAAGAAAAAAGCCATACGTGGATAACGGATACGATGTTCGTATGTCTGTTCCTTACGACTACGATGAGACGAGGCAAGATGGCGGCGAGATGACACACCACGTGGTACAGGGCGAGGGGGGCAACTACCCGCGGTACACCGATGTCGCTGACCATGACGTCATGTACCAGCGCTACCCGGAGCAGCCGTGCACCCTCAAGCTCCGTGACCTTGACATTGCTCTGGGCGGGCTTGGGGTGTATGACGGCAACACCAGGTACACGGAGGAGGGCAAGTTCTCGCTCAAGGACGTTCCTCTCTGCCGGGGATACAACAGCCCCGTCAGGTATCCTAGCAACGGAGCAAGGTTAAAGGACGGGGAACTCTACACGGGTCAAGGTCAGGGTCAAGGTTTCATCGGCCAGCCTCGGTACCCCGAGGGGTCAGAGAGCTACGACCGAGAGGACGATGACCTCAGGTATGCCGCGGACAACACGTGCGACTGGAACGAGATGAACGGAGACGGCCGGTCTGGCTTGGACCGGACCACGGGCCGCTGGGACAAGGACCCGTACGGCCCGCGGAGGGACCAGGACAAGGACCCGTACGGCCCGCGGAGGGACCAGGACAAGGACCCGTACGGCCCGCGGAGGGACCAGGTGTACAGCAACTCGAGGGGACGGGACGAGCCCCGGGCCACCGAGATGTCCCCCGGCCAGAGGAGATACACAGACGTGCACCGCCAGGAGGGCGCCCCGAACTTCTACACCCCGGCCAGGAAATCTAACCACGACCTGGAGGGGGTGGCGGAGCAGGCCATGGCGGGGGGCGGGCAGGACAAGAGGAGGTCACGTGATCAGTGTGGGGACGGAGCAGCCGGCAGGAATACCGGCATCCGGGAGAAAAAAAATCTGGCCACCCTGGAAGATACCATGCGAACGTTGACCAGTTTGAGAGACTCCCTCAGAGAGTGATCTCCCTCTCAAATGTCAGCTAAGCTAGAGACGTCGGGTAGCATGGCAAGGGACATAATCCTAACGGATGGTTTCTCTATAGGATGGTATTTTTATAGTGTTTGGTGTCTGCGCGTGTGTAGTTGTTCACTTATGTTGACAGCGCACTGTGAAACACGCACCTTTGTTATGCCACACAAATAGTGGGTATAGACACATACGTATACAGACACCGTAGTGCTCAGTGGCAGGGAGATAACTCGTTGAGTGCAGAATAAACTAACAGCACACGATTTGGCTCAGTTCTATGTAGTTCCCGGACAGCAGTACAAAATTTTTAAATTTTCATTTTTTATTTTTGTGTTTTGGATTGTTTTTTGGCTAAATTTTTTTTTTTTTACACAGTTTACTGTGATTATGTATTTTTAAATTGAGACATTCAAAGTTTTCAGCTATTCAATTGGTAAAATACTTTGTGTTAACATTAATTTTTGTAAAAAAAGAATAATGGATTATGCTTGTTAAAATAAAATAGATTGTATTCTGATAACGTTTTGTTACACATCTCTAATGGCTACTTTGGAAAAATATTTTAAAAATAATAATAGCTCAACTCAATAACATCGATAGTTCTTTTCGAGCTAGAGTTGCACACATTGTTTTACAAGAGGGAATAGTAGAGTTGTACACATTGTTTTACATGGGATAATAGTAGAGTTGTACACATTGTTTTACATGGGGGAATAGTAGAGTTGTACACATTGTTTTACATGGGGGAATAGTAGAGTTGTACACATTGTTTTACATGGGATAATAGTAGAGTTGTACACATTGTTTTACATGGGATAATAGTAGAGTTGTACACATTGTTTTACATGGGGGAATAGTACAGTTGTACACATTGTTTTACAATGGGAATAGTAGAGTTGTACACATTGTTTTACAGGGGAATAGTAGAGTTGTACACATTGTTTTACAGGGGGAATAGTAGAGTTGTACACATTGTTTTACAGGGGGAATAGTAGAGTTGTACATATTGTTTTACAGGGGGAATAGTAGAGTTGTACACATTGTTTTACAGGGGGGAATAGTAGAGTTGTACACATTGTTTTACAGGGGAATAGTAGAGTTGTACACATTGTTTTACAGGGGGAATAGTACAGTTGTACACATTGTTTTACATGGGGGAATAGTAGAGTTGTACACATTGTTTTACATGGGGGAATAGTACAGTTGTACACATTGTTTTACATGGGGGAATAGTAGAGTTGTACACATTGTTTTCAAAGGGGAATAGTAGAGTTGTACACATTGTTTTACATGGGGAATAGTAGAGTTGTACCCATTGTTTTACATGGGGGAATAGTAGAGTTGTACACATTGTTTTACATGGGGGAATAGTAGAGTTGTACACATTGCTTTACAGGGGAATAGTAGTGTTGTACACATCAGTCAGTTAACTTTACTTCAGTCAGTCAACTTTACCTCAGTCAGTTACATCAGTGAATCAACTTTACATCAATAAGTCAACTTAATATCAGTCAACTATACATATTGTATGATCACCATTTTGTATGACCAACATTTTGTATGACAAACATTTTGTATGACAAACATTTTGTATGACCAACAGACATGAAGAACATGTTGCAAAAAAATAAATCTTACATGATAACATACACGTCTCATAACACCTGACATAAATGTCAACTCAGTGATTTAGTATCAGTGCAGATGTCACTGATGTACAGCAGTGGCGGAACTAGGAAAAAAAAGGCGACATCGTATATGTATATATATATATATATATATATATATATATATATATATATATATATATATATATATATATATATATATATATATATATGTATATATAATGTATTAGTTGACTGTCCTACTAAATTTTAAATTAATTGTCATTTGTCCCACTCGGGCAAGTATCCACTCGGGAAATCGGCCTTCGTGAAATCGGCCTTCGTGAAATCGGCCTTCGGGCAATCGGCCTTTGGGCAAACGGCATTCGGGCAAGTGTCTTTCGGTACGTTCGGCTCCCGCTCTCTTCTACCCGTCTAAATTGTGAAAAAAAAACACGCAATGTCAGGACTTCAATGTCAGGACTTCAATGTCAGGACTTCAATGTCAGGACTTCAATGTCAGGACTTCAATGTCAGGACTTCAATGTCAGGACTTCAATGTCAGGACTTCAATGTCAGGACTTCAATGTCAGGACTTCAATGTCAGGACTTCCGTATAAAGTAATTAAACACGGAGGTTTGAAATGTGTGTTATGGTTTCCTGTTCTTGCTTTATTCTTATTTTCCAACATTTATATTAATATTTTTGAACACATTTCTTCTTACATCTTTGTCATTCTTTAGTATACTTTGATTTAATAATATTAAGAGAAGATATTACATTTTAGTTTTCTTAGTAAAAACCTATTAAATTGAGTTTAAAATTATTATTTTTTATATTCAATAGTTTTTGTTAGTTACTGTAAAATAATCAGTAGTGAGGTGGATATTTAAAAAAAAAAAACAGTCTATCAAGGGGCAAAAATGAATTATTTTGTTTTTGGTTAGCTAAACGGCCTGGGTCCAATCACATAGCGGGGTCTGGCGTCATGGTAGTTCCGCCCCTGGTCTGGCGTCATGGTAGTTCCGCCCCTGGTCTGGCGTCATGCTAGTTCCGCCCCTGGTTTAGCGTCATGCTAGTTCCGCCCCTGGTCTGGGGGTATGCTAGTTCCGCCCCTGGTCTGGCGCCATGGTAGTTCCGCCCCTGGTCTGGCGTCATGGTAGTTCCGCCCCTGGTTTAGCGTCATGCTAGTTCCGCCCCTGGTCTGGCGTCATGCTAGTTCCGCCCCTGGTCTGGCGTCATGGTAGTTCCGCCCCTGGTCTGGCGTCATGCTAGTTCCGCCCCTGGTCTGGCGTCATGGTAGTTCCGCCCCTGGTCTGGCGACATGGTAGTTCCGCCCCTGGTCTGGCGTCATGGTAGTTCCGCCCCTGGTCTGGCGTCATGGTAGTTCCGCCCCTGGTTTAGCGTCATGCTAGTTCCGCCCCTGGTCTGGCGTCATAGTAGTTCCGCCCCTGGTTTAGCGTCATGCTAGTTCCGCCCCTGGTCTGGCGTCATGGTAGTTCCGCCCCTGAAGTGTAGATGTAACAGTAGCACCATCCTGGTCCTAGTTTTAAAATACAGCTTTAACACTTTCATAGAACTGAAAACTTTTTTTTAAACAAAGTAACTTCCTCTTCGTTCTTAATTAAGTATATGATGGAGGATTTAAACAAGTCCAACTTCGTGTATGAACTGGACTGTGGTCTCCAGATCAGCGGGTGCCCCATATAGTTTTTCCTTGAGTGGGGTGTGTAGGGGCCAGTGTTAGGATCGCGCCTGGTTGTACAAAGGGCAGTCCTGAAGGACGCGCTCCGTATTCTCCGGGGCCTTGACACAAGGGCATATTTCGCCACACCCAATTTTTAGTTTTTTATGCATGTGGCCTGTTCTGAGACTAAAGATTACGCATTGTTGGTTTCGTGTCAAATTGTAATATCCATCATCTTTTTTGTAGTGAGGGTGTGTGTCAGACCACATTTGTGTTTTTTTTTTTTTATGATTCTTTTGATTTCTTTTGGGTGTAGTGAGATTTCTGGATGTTTTTTCTTTCGCCCAATTTTTGCCAGCTGGTCCGCGATCTCATTTCCTTGTATCTGGCAGTGGCCCGTGATCTACTGCAGCAGAATTCTGCTGCAGGTATTGTTTAACTTTTCAATGGCTGTCCTGAGTGATTGGGTATAGGATTCTGGATTTTTTAGGGACTGCAGGACAGATTTAGCATCTGTGAGAAATACTATCTGACTATTTGGAGATTCAGGGTGTTCTGACAGAAGATTTGCTGCATGCTCTAAAGTTTCTTTTTCTGCTCTAAAATTGTCGGATAGGCTGCCTGTGGCTATTGACTTTTCTAAGCTTTAACAAAGTAACGACTGCACTGGTTTCATGGCCGTCATCATTCGAATCAGATTTTACGTACCATGTAGAAAGGTAGAAACTAAATTTCAGCAACAATTTTACAGTCTTTACAGTCAGTGTTTCTTCCAGACTTTTTTCTCGGGGGGGGGGGGGGGAGGGGCACTTGAAATTTTCGGGGGGGGGGGGGGCGTAGACTTTCTACGGGGGAGGGGGGGGGGCGGACACTGTTAAAAGTATATATTTTCTATATAAATTATATACATTTCATTTCGTTCGGGGGGGGGGGGGGGGTCGGTAGAATCCCCCCCCCCCCCCCCGAAGAGATGCCTGGAAGAAACTCTGTTTACAGTGTGAAATGATTGTTGTCAATTATTTAAAAGAAAAGCCAAACAAGGTTTTAAATTTACAAAAACAAGGAACATTTGGCTACACGATGATGAAAAAACTGGGCGACCAGACCGCAAAGTATGGTGGAAAAAAAAAACCAATAGAAAAATTCATATAATCTCACACTTGTGTTTGATGGAAAATTCTACTGCTTCACTCAACTAACCCCTCATACTCTGAGTTTTATTTAACTTATTCAAAAACAATTTGTTTAAATAAAATCGATGAATATTCATAAATTAAATACCCAGCTTTAAAAAAATGTCATTAATTTAAAATATTTTTTTGAAGCTACTAATACGTCACATTATCAGTTTTTATCTTAAGGGTACTTAATTCTTGACTTAAATGAGTCTAAATCAACCACATCGTAACTCATCAGCGTGAAATAAAAAAAAAATTAAATATTTTTAAAGCCCCATTTTTCAATAGAAAGTCGCCAGCTGTTTTGATATCACCAAACACATCAGTGATGGTAGGAGCCAGCCCCAGCAGTAAAGAATTTCAAATCCCTGGCTGTCAGAGCGAGGCTTCCATACATCACAGACTGCGGCTCACAGAGATAAGCACAACATATGTGTCACCGGGGTTGGGACAAAAATATAACAAGAATCATTTTTTTGATCATTCAACAGATAATCAGCTGTCAGACCCGAACTTTACCAATCACTAGCAGCAGTAAACGCTACCTGCATTCATTTATTTGAGCTTTAATGAAATTATGCAAAACTTGTAAACTTGACCGTTATTCATTAACATAACTGCATTCATTATACATCCCAGAATTCTTTTTGAAATACCATCAAGTTTTGATCGTGAAGTGCTTCATTGGATTGATTTAGTGAATGGGGATCAAGTTCAGGTTGACCTAGTTTTTCTGTAGATTTCAAGATAAGCCGATACAATCGGCTAACACAACGCCCATGTATTACTATTGCAACTTTGTTCCGAATAGAAAGAGGGCACAACAAATCCAGCAACTTAAGATCCATATACAAAGGCGGAACCAAACTCGTGTTAGTCCTTTATACAATGGACTTATGGATGTGTTAGACAGGGGACGAGACTCTTGGATGCTATATAAATTCAACAGGGGACGTCTCACACGAA